AAAAAAAAAAAAAAAAAAGTGCTGGGAATATAGCTCAGTGTAAAAGATCTGAGTTCAGTGTCCAGTACCAGAAGCACAAAAAAAAAAAAAAAAAAAAAAAAAAAATAGTGAAGTCATTAGACACGTGTATTCCCTCCTTTCCATGCAGAGACTCCAAGAAAGGGCCTCCCTAGCTTTTCAACACTGTGTCTCTTGCCCTTACAGGAAGCTGGGAAAGGCTAGCATTTCATAAGCATGGGCAGAAAAAGCAGTCACCACATCAGAAAGGACAATTTTCCATCCTTGCCACCAGATGAGCCGCAGCGTGGGGTTTACCTTCCACCTCCAGGAGAAGCGGTCTCCAGTGGTGCAACCTGACAGCTCTCACCAGTTGTTCTCTGCCAAGTCACGGTGGCGGTGGCGATGAGCTCAAGGACAACTCTGACTTCTGAAATAGTCTCCGCTAATGGGCGTTGGGCCTGATGCTTTTATTCTATTGGTTTCGGGTGAAAGCTAAGCCCGCCTGTGTGCCTCTTCCCCCACCCCTTCCCACTCTTCTGCTTTTCACCCCTAACCCTACTGCCACCCACCAATCAGGGATTTGTCCTCCCTTCAGACAACTGGAATTGTGTTAACCCTTTTCCAAATGCTCTATGAGATGTTTGAAAAAACCATTGGAATTTAGTTACAATTACAGTAGGGGTGTGTGTGTGTGTGTGTGTGTGTGTGTGTAACTAGGATCAAACCCAGGGCCTCACTTGTGCTAAGCAGGTATTCTACCACTGAGCTATATTCCCAAACTTTTTATTTACTTATTTATTTTTTTAACTTTGAGACAGAGTCCCACCCTGTTGCTTAGGCAAGCCTCCAACTCTCAATCTTCCTGCCTCAGCCTTCCAACTAGCTTCGATTGCAAGGATACCCACCTCACCCAGCTGTGTAGGTCATTATTTAAAGATTTTTTTTTCTGTCACAAAACAACCTGCCACAATTTTGACAATACAAAAATATGTAAAGTGAGAGACCTCCCTCGCCACCCTCCTTTCTCACTCCCAGGAGTAGGCAATGGTAATAACTTGGGCCTTTCTGCCCATTTAGCAAGATGATAGAAGGTGAATAGATAGATGGATAGATAATAGATAGATACATAACTTTATAGATTTTCAAAACACATAATGGATCATGTTCTACACCTTGTTTGGCAACATCTTTCTTAACTTTGTACATCTCAGACTCCTTTCCTTATCAGTCCACAGGGTTTTGAATTTCAGTTACAGCAAATTGGGCAGTTGGAAGAAGTAAAGGGCCTTTCAACCAATAATTTAAAGGCACAAGGCCAGCAGGGCAGCCAAACCTTGCAACTTTATTCTTATACTGTGTGTGCAATCTTCTTCATTTACCTGCTCTAGAGATCGTGGGAGAACAGGTGCCAGGTAACATCTATACAAACCAAAGAAAGACCCAACATCCATAGCAGCAGCTCCAGCGGTCCTCTGAACCTACAAAAAACATCTCCCCTCAAAGGTTGACACAGAGCTCAGAGACTCCCGGGGCTCAGATCCTATCTGTTTATTTGTCTTGATACAGATTTGTTACCAGAGTTCTTTCTAAACATCTAGTTTTTAGTGACTTGAGTCTCTTGTGGGTTAAATAAACTTTTTGCTTTTCAGGATCTTCCATCTCTCAGCACTTTCCAGAAATTATCTGATGCATCCTCTTACCCATGCCACAGGAGCAAGGAGTTATTGCTTCATTTTACCAGTGGAGAAATAGAAGCACAGGTGAGGGTAAGATCCCAGCCCTTCCTAAGAGAATCCAAGTCCTAATACTTACACCTGGATCCTGAAGCTTAGCAATATGGCTACTCCGTCTCAAGACACAAATGCGTAGTGCTGTCTCTGAAACAACCAAAGACAGAAAGGAGGAAAAGCTGAGGTAGCTCTGCCGTCTGGCACCTGTGCTCAATGTACCCTGTAGGGAGAAGTATGCCTCGCAGGCTAGACTGGACTGAACTCAACAGAGTCATGAGCAGAGTGGGAACGTGGTATTTTTTGCAGGTCACAGAGATTTCACCAAGAGGGAAGACCAATCTTAGACGCCCCCCTGACTGTTTGGAAAAAAAAAAAATTACCATCCTCTCCATCATTCTTAGTGTATCTGTAGTGCCTTTTACTCATGGTCATTTATTATGTTTATTCACTGTTTATGTTTGGGAATTGTCTGTTCAGGCCCCTCACCTATCTCATGAGGAAGGACTCATCTTTTTCTTTGCTAAGACCTTGGTGTAGGACACAGTTGTAAAGCAACAAAACAGCTGCGGTGGGGTCATGGGCCGGCCTCCTGTGTCCCAACCTGGCTCTGCTTCAGGTTTACAGATCAAAGGACAGTGAGCAGTACAGGATTTTGGCAGATGGTCCTGCAAACAGGGCTGCTGACGCAGAATCGGCGGGGCTGAGGGGGTGGTGGGGCTGCAGCCCCTGGGGTCCCTGCAATGGACACACCCTCACCCCTCTTCTATAACAGCAACAGAACCTAGGTCACAAGGGAAGATAGACAAGGCAAACAGGTCTTCAGACTGCAGACAGAACAAAGAGGGGACCTAACTCCACACAGGAAGCTTCGCTGACACTGAATAAACTCAACACAGGCAGGGCCAATAAACTTAGACACACAAACCGCTGCCACTGCGGCTGCCGTTAAGACCTTTCATTTAAGAACCAAACAATGACTTCCATCAATTTTTTTCTTAAGTATTCAAGTGCTGTGTTTTCCATAAAAAAGTATTTTTTTTAATTTTTAAAGATGTAGTAAAAAATATAACTTTAAATTTATCATTTTAGCCATTTTTGAGTGTACAATTTCAGCAGTTTTTTGCCTATTCACATGGTTGTGACATAGATCTCCAGAACTTTATCATTTTGCAAAACAGAAACTCTGTAACTGGTCAGTGTCTGTTTTTTGTTTTTGTTTTTGTTTTTTTCTGGTACTGGGGACTGAACTCAGGACCCTGCGCTTGCCAGGCACGCACTTATTCTACTGAGCTATCTCCCCAAGCCCAAAACTCTGTAACTATTAAACCCTTAATTTCCTTTCCCCTCTTCCTCCAACCCTTGGCAACTATCTTTCCACTTTTGGATTAAAAATCATATTTTTAAGTAATCTGACCATCCAGAGATAAGCACTGTTTATCATTTTATCCACAACTAACATTTTGAAATCCCTGTACTTCCTATGGATACATTCATATTTTATGTATGAGAGTTTTATATGCTGTGGGCCTCATTTTTAGAATATATTAGGAACATTTTCTTCCATTTTTTGCAAATTTTCTTTTAATAGTTACCTACAACCCTGGGCCTTTGTTTTTATAGAACTGTCTCCATGCCCCTCTTTCTTCTGCCCCTGCGGGTTGGACACCCTCCTTGTACCACGTAGTCTTGGACACACCATGCCTAAGTCAGTCACTCCAGAAGGACAGCCTGTCTCCTCTCTACCTTCACTTGGACAAAAACTAAGTCCCACAGTGTAGTCAGTGTTGAGTTGGAGTCTGAGCCCCAAACTCTGGCTCCAGATTCCAGAAGTGCAAACCTGCCTCTCTTTAGAGGAGTCAGTGAGTAGGCTGAGACGACACAGCCCTAGACAGACATGGTGATGGACAACTGTAATGGCAATGGTCAGGAGGCTGAAGCAGGAGTGTCATGAGTTTGGGGATAGGCTGGGCTACATGGCAAGTTCAAGACTGGTCTAAACAACAGAGCAAGACCCTGTTTCAAAAGGAGGGTGGAGAGGAGCATATTCCTAGGGCATGTTTAAAAGAGGGATAGGAAAATAATGTATTAAGCATGCGGGCTAGGCATGGACTATTCATCTGCCTTTTGTTGGTCCTCAGTTGTTAATGTTGCATCTTTCCATACTCAATCACCATCCAGACCATTGAATTTGGGTACAAAGGAATAGGGATGCTTTAACTTCTCCAGTAGCCTGAAGCAATAAGGAATATTCTTTTCAGTCTCAGTGTCCTCCTCCATGTCTGGCACCATGCTTTGAACAGGTCACATTTGAAACTTTTTCACCAGTTGCCAATTAATAGCACATGAACCCAAGAGAAAGAAACGATGGAAGGAGTGGTAACAGAGAGCAAACCAGAGTCAGGTGTATTTATAGAAGGTGGGGTGTGAAATTCAGGAAGGAAGGATTAGGAGATAGGTTGGACTTTGATAATTTATAATGTCTTACATTTACAGAGTACTTTGATAGTGTTTGGCTTACATTATTACATTACCTCATGTAATTCTCTCTCTTTCTCTCTCTCTCTCTCTCACACACACACATACATGCACACTATAGGATAGACAAGGAAAAAGCTGTCACAATATAGAAGTATACCTGCTTCAAGTTCCTTTTCTTGAATTAAAATATTTATTTTAGAATAGTTTTAGATGTATAGCAGAGTTGCAAAGACAGTCCAGAGTTCCCACATATGCCTCCCCAGTTTCTCCCTATTTTTACCATCCCGATGATCATAACACAACTAAGAAACAAATACTTGTCTATTCATACTAAGAAAACTCCATTCTTCACACAGTTTTCACTAATTTTTCTCCTAACATCTTTCTCCTCTTCCAGCCTCCCATTTGGGGTACCACTTTGCACTCAGTGCATGTGGCTCCTCAGTCTCTTCCGGTCAGGGATGATTTCTGAGACTTTCCTTGCTTTTCACAATCTCAGAAGCTTTGATGTAGAATGATCCTCAATTTGGGTTTGTCTCATGCTTCGGAAGGAGCTATAGGCCCCAGGGAAGGACCACTTGAGCTTAAGGCCACTCACTTTGCATCAGAGCTCAGAAGGTTAATAAAGAAATGAAACCCTCATGTGTTTGCTGACTGAGGTGCCCCTGGTCACCTCTCTCATGAGCTTAGCAAATAACACCAGCATGTTTGCTTTGTGCTTTGCACAACCATCCATGCCTATTAACTTAGCCATTTTTCTCCAGTTGGAACTTGGTGTTCCTTTACTTGTGCGTAGCTGGAACCTCAGCCCCATCACAGGTCTCAGCATCCATCAAGGAACACCCTGTGACTGCTGTGCCCAGTGGAAATAGGAGGAAGTGTCTCTGTGACAGTTCCGAGGACATGGCCACTTAGCTGGCCAGCCTTAGCTGTCTGCCCCTAGGGCCCGGCCTCCATGTAAGGAGTCCTTGCTTTAGAGAGATGGCACAGAGAAGCCCTGAACTGCCTGGCAAGTAAACGAGGGAGCCTTCTGGGAGGTCTAACCTGTCTGAGCCTGTGGGTGACACCAGCCCAAGATGACTGTGACTGCACGAGAAACCCCAAGGGAGATCCACCTGGTTATTCCCAGTAAACACTCAGAACCACAAGAGATCATAAATGAAGAATTTTATGACAGCACACCTTTGCACATGGTCACTCTGGTAAACTCTTCAAATTGCTTCATTTGCTGGCACTTTC